ATGCTGCGTGACGGCCACCATCGCCTTCAGTCGGTCTGTGGTCGACGTGCTCTCTTCTGCCTGTGACCCCTGACTCATGGATACTGACCTTTTGCAGCCCCCTCCCCCATTCAAGGGGGAGGGGGCGACATTGCGTCGTCCGACTCACCACCTCCCTTCGCTGTCCGCGCCCTCTCTTCAGATCACACACAAGTGCAGCCGATTTTTCGCTTCTCGGCCAGCATCGTCGTTCACGAGCAAGCACGTCTCCATTCGGCTTTCCAGGTCTTCAGGAATGGCCGCCAAATCGCCTCACACTGCCCAGCCGCCTTTTGACGCATACCCTAAGGCTCAACCACTGGCCAGTGGCGATCACTGGTTTAATGTTAGTTGGTTGGGTTGGTTACGAGCCCTGGGGATGCCCCGCCTCCCAAGTCTTTGCGAGTCCGATTCATGTACACTGGCCACGCACGATCACACTCCGATCGACCGATCGCACGCCTCTGTGTCCTCAGCTTTTACACGATTCGATTTCACGGCAGCTACCCTACGCATCCTAGTGCCACTCCTCGGCTGGTCCTCGCGGCGCGCCCAGTGAGATCCGTTTGACAGGCAGTCCAGTGAAATCCTTAGGGTAGCTAGTCTAGACTCCCCCCCCGAAACTTGCGCCATGGGTCCGATGGAGGGCTCGAACCCATGACGACCGGCTCACATGACTCCGTGGCGAACCACTCGGCCATGGAGCCGGTTGGTTAGTTAGTTACGGTAACGGGCCCTGGGAATGCCCCGCCCTCCGAGTCTTTGCGAGTCCGATTCATGTACACTGGCCACGCACGATCACACTCCGATCGACCGATCGCACGCCTCTGCGGCCTAAGCCTTTACACGATTCGATTTCACGGCAGCTACCCTACGCATCCTAGTGCCATTAATGCAGTATATATTCGATCCTCAGGCTGGCAATTTTGTAAGGTGTCCTTTTCCGATCGCCTTCCGTTACGAGGGGGCCCCTACCGCCTCGTAGCCGTTCGTCGACCCGCGTTCGCGGGAGCTCCATCGACAGGGGACTTGGCCGTCAGGCCGCCTAGGGTGCTCCCTGAAACCGCTGCACTACTAACCTAGGAACATGCACGTAGATAGGGTCATGCACACGGCATGCCTACCCATCCCACCCACCCACCCACCCGACATGCACGTGCCACCCCATGATGCTCAGAAAAATCACTGTCACCACCGGCTGCACATATACGAGAAGACAGCCAGACATATACATGGCACTCAAAAGAGCTCGACGTTGACCGCTCACTGATCCAACACGTGCTGTTCATATCCAATTCGTCATCTGCTGTCTGAAACGGGATAAGTCAGCCACCTTGCACGTGCAAGCCACTTATTGCGTGTTGCCATACTGTTCATATGTCACTGATGGAGTACCGTTTGATCAATCACAAGGGAGCAGAAACACGATCAGCAGAAAGCACACTCTTAGACAGAGCGACGAACCACTGGCAGAAGTATCCGCCCTTCTTCAGCGTTTCATGGAACACCCTAGGCGGTCAGACCAAATGCAGCGGTTTTCAGGAAGCACCCTAGGCGGCCTGACGGCCAAGTCCTCTGTCGGTCTCTACATCGTTGCCAAATAGGGCAAAAGCGTCTGTGTTAGGGCAAAGTCACACCAAGGAAAGTTCGCGCGAGCAACTCAACTGCTCACGAGACCAAGGGAGTTGTGAGCAGTTGAGAGGAGAGATGTCGGTTGCTCAGCAAGTACGTGCCGCTCTAGAGAGCCGACAGACACTAGATGCACAACTTCAGTCCTTGGTGAGTCATGGGAACTGCACCGAGATACACACTGCCGGTGCATGATGCTGTGCCACATGTACTACCTGTGCATGACGCCGCAGGTCAATATTGTTGCACAGGCCGGTCCTGATGCTGCGAGGGCTTCCATCAATCAACTCCATGTTATTATCAAGGACAAGAATGAGCCAACGAAGACCAAGATTCTCGCTGTCGAGGTGAGATGTCACGGACAGGCAAATCAGTGCTGCGCGTGTGGCCATGTGTGTCCTGATCAGCTAATTGACACGCTTGTGAGCGTGGATGAGAACTGTGGGAAGTGTCTGATTGAGTCAAAGCTGTTGAAGCGTCTTCTTGAAATTGCTCGTCGGAAAAACGTAAGTTCGAGGTACTGGTTTGACTTGAAGATCATCTTCTGTTTGTCATGCTTGGCGACTTCCAGGAGCGCGGTATGGCCAAAAAGAAGGCGTCCTACTTTGGAAGCAATGCTCAAGACAGTGAGGTCAGCCAGTGCATCGATGCAGCTGGGAGAGCGATCCAGCACTGGGTGGGCGATTGAAAGAGACAGACACGCATAGCATAACACCATGAATGTGACCACCTGCCGCATGCGCTATGTAGGGCATGCTGAATACTGCCAGCACATCTGAACGAGGCAAACACCTTCGCTCCGCTTGGGAGACGCTCATTAATGAAGGTAAAGGCACATCGACAATTCGGAAGTATATCGAGGGTATCTGCCCTTTTCAGGTATTTCTATACCTCATGAGAGGCAGGTGCGGCAGACACATGTTTCAACCTCAGCGTGCTGCCCTTCACGTCATGAGATCATATTTGCAAGTTTATCTGCGCAGGCTGACTCACTCTCTCGTGGTGATCAGAAAGCCAATGATGAATTGCTGAAGCAAAGACTGTCGGGTAGGAACAGAATTTTGGAACCCGCGATCTTCATCAGTCGTCTGCTATTCTCTTTTGTCGCTCTGCCAGCTGCAATGTCGTCAGCGGAGCTAGTGCAAGAGACTCTTGTCTCCGCGAGTGGGCCCGAGATGAAGGCAATGCTCGACGATATAGTGCAGTCCCTCAGAAGGTAACTCACAATAGTGGGCACCTTGTTCGTGACTCGATCATTATCGATGATCTTCATGATGGGGTCACCGCCTGTAGTGATCAGCAGCGGCTGCAGGAAGATGCGAATTCTGCATTGGACGCTGGTCACGCGGAGGACTTCGAACAAATATCTAAGGTCAGGGCACATGCAACAGATAGCAGGTAATTAATGTGTTGTCTTTCAGACGATGGAGAGTGTCTCGTCCGCCATTGTGGCCTATGACCAGTGGACGAAAAGACAGATGCAGGCTTCTCCTGTCCCCTCTCCCCCTCCCCCACCGCCCCCACCTGCAAGGCTCGAGGCCGCTCCTGTTGCCTCATCCCCTCAGCATTCTGGCGCCCATGGTACAGCAGGGGAGATCAAACCGGCCACTCCAGAAACCTTCGGCGTATTGGCCCCGTCGCCCAGTGCTGCGAAGAACAGCTGGGTAGACAGCAAAGACGGAATCGTGTCAGAGAAAATGTGCCATATTGTTTCCCTGTCGGCGTAGGGTGACAGCGTCTTTCCGAGCTCTTCAGCTCCAGGTACCACTCTGAACGATGTCGCCCCGCCGCCCGCCTCCTCCTTTAGTGTCCCCCGAAAGAAAAGAAGTACATCACCTGCCGATAGGAGAAAGATATCCGATAGCGGCAAATCAGAGGAGAAAAACAAGGAAATGATTGCAGAGGCAAGAGAGTTAGCACCAGACGAGGGCACAGGTATACTTGGAGGGAGCACAGGCTCACTTGAATCCAGCCCTGAAGCTTGACTGTTGTGTTGATGCCTGTCTCTCTACTGAGATAGCGGGTGGACCTTTCCCCTCATTCAATGCTGACGCTACCGGCTCTACCGTTGACGCGAAAGCAAAGACCCAGCTCGATGCGTTTGCCGATTTCGACTTCTTCCAGCCAGCTGCGTCCGCGCCAGAGAACTCAATCAGGACCACAACGCCTCCAATTGGTACTGCCGCGGTGTCGGCTGGCATGGACACTTTTCTGTCTCGTGGCGATGAGACGACAGCCGCACCAGTCGCTGGACCTTCATGGGGATTCGAACAGTCACCGAGCAAGGCAAGGGGGTTGAAATAACAGCGGATGGACTTTACTGCCAGTGGGGCTTTTCCTATCTTAGGTTGATGCCTCAGACCCCTTCACGGCTTCATTTGCTGACGATGCAGCCGCCCTCCCTTCACAGTCGTCGAATGCTCAGATGGCAGCCCCTCTCGGCGCACAAGATGAGCCCGATGCACAAGGAGACGGAGGCCCCTCGAGGGGCAAAGATGCAGCGCCTTTTTTCGGCGTCACGCCAGCAGCAGCCCAAGGACGAAGTGGCGTTATGGAGCAGGACAGCCATCTGGCACTGAGAAGGAGGATAGAGGTACGATTATCGGATTATCTGACGCACCGATTATCGGATTCTCTTTGATGCATTCCACAGTCACTTGAGACTCAGCTTGAGGTCGCAGAGGCAGCACTGAGGCCAAAAATCGAGGTACAACTGGCTGTCGAGGGTATGTATAAGGTATTTAACGATGTGTGGATTATGTTTGGCGGGTCGATGTACAGTCAGAGGTCCGCAGTGAGGTACAACTAGAGATGGACAACCAGCGGCGCGAGATGCGACTGGAGGTGGAAACCCTTCAAAAGAGGCTGGATGCATCGGAGACCGGACTGAACCTTACGAAAAGGGAGTTGGATGAAGTGAAAGGCAGAGCACAGGTATCTGCGTGCGTCAAAATCCGTACGTCTTCAGATTTTCACCCCCATTCAGGCGTTGACTGAAGACGTGAAACGTTACGAGCAGATAGTTGGGGATCGTGAGAATGCTGTGAGCCACGCAAAGGAGATGTGGCTGAGGGAGAGCAGCCGGGCGGCTACGCTTTCAGACAAGCTCGATGGTTCGCGTCTCAGTTTCACAAACGAAGAGGTAACCTCTCCGTTTGACCTTTTGCAGCTGCCGAGCAGAGGATTGCCAACCAGGAGTCGGATACTGTGCGGCTCACTGAACGCTACGTCGAAGCCACACAGGTGCGAAAAAGACGCAATCACAATCTTTCAGGTGTATTGTACCTGCTTTGCAGGAGCTTCGTCAATTGAAGCATCTATTCGGCAATCCAGTGGGAGAGTAAACGACTGCACTGCACGATTGCTTGGTTACCTGTCTCTCGTCGGCTGCTTCAAGGATGGCCGACTTCCCCCTCTGTCCCACAACCTGTCCAGGCCGCATCGAAGTCTTGCCACCGATCTGAACACCAACGTGGACCGCGCACGGCCATCGGCAATGCCCTCTGTCAGAGCAGCGGAAGGAGGTTCGAATCCACATGTCGAGTACTTTTTGCCTCCAGCAGCGACGCCGCCGATGCCAAATGGCCTCACGTATACACGGAGGCGAATGGATGAAGACAAAGATGTCGTGGGTTGCCGTGTTTGCGTTGTGCGTGCAATAGGTCTTTGGGAAGTGCGGATCATCCGGCTGTTGACATCCACTGTGACACTGCAGAATGGCATCTACAGGTTAGATGAATGCAGATGCTGCAGCTGTAGGCGGGTGAATCGGTGGCTGTTTTCTGCCCAGCATAGTATCGGCGAAGGAGACATTCCCGCACCTCTGTTGGGTCTTACCGACGACAACACACCAGAAGCACTCGCCAACCATGACAGGTCTATACACTTATGTCTTTGGACTAAATGCAATTGAAGGGAATCCTTGCCCACAGGTTCCGTCACTTAGTCTTGGTGGATGATGCTGTCTTCTTTGAAGACGACACACTGCAGGTATACAACCCTGCATATCCACTCGTCCTAGTTGGAGGCTGACTGCTTGCAGATTGGCATCAAGGCCAGCTACACCGGTTTGGATGGACATATGGGCGTATACTACGGCAACAAATCCCGCGGAGTCCTTCAGAGCTTTCACGTGAGCGTGCAGCCCCCCCCTGACTGGGGCGACGATGCGGAACACATGCCTCTTGTGATTACGGCATCATCCGTGGAATGCCGACTTGCTCCAAGGCAGCAAACGTGCCAGGTGCGGAAGCGGTCGCACAAACAATTTGATTCGAGTACATTTCGTGCATGGTCAGGAAGTGACGGTGGAATGTCGAGGTCCATTTGAAGGCTGCCCGCTGATAAAAATCCAGTTTCTGTCAGTAACTTCACAGGCAGGCTTCGTCACAGACTAATGGTTTGGTTGGTCTTGTCAGGCTACCTGACAACACCCCACGGACGCTGCAGTTGAAGCTTCCAATCGTCGTATCGAAATTCATGGTAAGAAGACGCGCTATGAGGAAGAAGAGAGAGAGAGAGAGAGAGAGAGAGAATATTGCCACATGACGAACTGAGCCACATGACGTTCTAACAAGTTCAGGAGAAGCGCGCGTTCCCAACTCGAGATTTCTTTTCCCTTTGGCGAAATGAGAGTTTCATTCTGCACGAAGGTATGTTATGCATCATAATTGTGTGTTTCCGAATCGCAACTGCCAATCGTGCCCGTCAGCGATATGCATTGTTAATTTGGCGTATCGGCTTCGGGGCTCCCTGATGCATCTCGCGCGCAACGTTCAGCTAGTAAGAAACTTGTCAGCTGCTTCTTGTCCTCGGCAGTGACAATTATCAACTCCATTCAGGGAGGAGCACTGGAGCTTCTCACAGGGCTTGATGCAAATCCTGACAACCTAGTACGAGGCACAGGGAATGGGTTAACGTATTTTGATACAAACCTGATGCTGCTCAGGTTCTTTCGGGTGTCCTTCCATCGCGTGACAGTGGAGCTGAGGATGTCAAACCTGCATTTGGCGTGTCAATAGTGCTCGCCCGGTACGAGTATAAGCTTATCCATCGTTGCGCTGCACTTCATGTGTTTGCTCAGGATTGAGCTGGGCACGGGAAGGTACAGAGGTAAACTACGCATCGCCATCCGCTCGGACTCGCATCGTTTGGCCCAAGCTCTGAGGCATTTGATTGCCGCGCAGGTCAGTTGAGGCAACTTTGTGATGGATGTGAAGTTATGACCTGAATTGAGGATTATGAGCTGACCAAAAGAGTATATACTGTTTGTTCGAGGGTAGAAAGAAGAAGCTGCCTCCGTTCACAAAAAAGAGCCTGGACTTTAATACCAGAAAGTCGTCGTTGCATATCTTTGAGGGCCTCCCAGCACACTTGTTCGAAGAACCGGGAGGGTTGAGATGTGGTGTTCGCTGTCCAGATGGGATAATTCCATCTATGCGTTTCGTTAGATCCCATTCATCCGACCATCCATTCATACATCTATCCGTCTTCCCCACTATCCATCATCAACATTTCTGTCAGGATTGCCAGCTTGGCAAGACGAACCACTGCGAGCTTGTGAGCTAGGGTATACTGCTGTGTAACGGGTGGAGAGAGGAGAAGACAAGGAAAGACAAGGAAAGCATTCTGAGGAGACACGATCTTATCAGCCATCACCGAAGTGAGATCTGTGTTGACCACCCTTCATGATGCCATACATGGACAGAAACAACTTTGACTGACTGGCCAGTCCATCGGTCTTATTAAAGTAAAAGCACTCTTACTCTGGGACTTACCGCCCAGCAGATCCTCT